TCCACGACAAATTAAAAATCTTATTAATTTCACCTCTCAAATATTAAAAAAAAAACTTAGTTATTAAAGTTTATTCTCTTATTACGTATGCAACGCATAAAATTAAATAACTGAGTTCAAAATAACTAATTTTTTTTAAGGAATTGATATTTTTTAATAGTTTTAATATTTAATTAAAATCAAAATTGATAAAACTAGATATTTTTTCTCCCTTTAATATACCAAAGCTCTTGCAAATTATAAAATTTTCACCAAAATCAATATTTAGATTTGATATAATGCTTAAGCCTAAGCCTAAATATACCCTAAGCCTAAGCCTAAGCATTATTTTATTATTTAAAATGTCAAATGACCACAATATATGTGACCAGTTCTCGCACTATGCGAATATAATAATCAATTTTTTTTTTATTCAATGATATTTTTTAATAGTTTTAACATCCTCTGAAATTAAATTTTGATAATAGTAGAACTTCTTACCTAGTTTTATATGCAAATACCCGTATAAATTATGGGATTTTTGTAAATGTATTATTTAAATTTGAAATATAAATTAATTTTAATTGTAAGAATGAATTAAAATCGTGAAAAATTAAAAATTTAATTAATTTTGCTAATAAAATTTTGATCAAAACTTAATTTTTAAAGTTTATTTTATTATTTTTGCTGGTCAAATGACCACGATGTATGTGACCAGTACCTACGCAACGCATAAAATTCAATCAATTAAGTACAAAATATCCATTTTTTTTTAATGTTTTGATATTTTTTAATATTTAATTAAGATTAAATTTGATAATAGCAGGGTTTTTTTCCCAATTTATTATGCAAAAATTCTTACAAATAATAGGATTTTTACAAAAATCAATTTTAAATTTGAAATAAAAATTAGCATTAATTGTAAAAATGAGTTAGGTCTATGACTAATTAAAAATTTTATTATTTTCACAACTGAAATTTTGATCAGAATTTAAAAATTAAAATTTATTTAATTGTTTTTGCTGGTCAAATGACCACAATGTATGTGACCAGTATCTATGCAACGCTTATAAATTAATCAATTAAGTTCAAAATATCTATTTTTTTTTTTTAAGAATTGATATTTTTAAATATTTTAGCACTTAATTAAAATAAATTTTTGACATTACTGGAATTTATTTCATAATTTATTATACAAAACCTTAAAAAAATATTGAATTTTCTTAAATTTTGATATTTAAATTTGGAATAAAAATTAATTTTAATTGTAAGAATGAATTAAAACCGTCACAAATTGAAAATTTAATTAATTTTGCTAATCAAATATGGGTTAAAACTTAATTATTAAAGATTATTTATATTATTCATGCTGATCAATTGACCAATTGTAAATACCAGTACCAATGCAATGCATAAAATTTAATCAATTAAGCTCAAAATATCTAATTTTCTTTACGAAATGATATTTTTTAATAGTTTTAACATTTTAATTAAATTGAAATTTGACAACACCGGCATTTATTTCATAGTTTAATATGCAAAAACTTTTACAAACTGCACAATTTTCTTAAATTATGGTATTTAAATTTGGAAAATAAATTAATTACAATTGCAAGAATGAAATAAAACCGTGACAAACAAAGATTTTAATTTATTTTGCTAATGAAATATTGATTAAAAGTTATTTTTTAATATTTTATGCTGACCAATTGACCGCACCGTGATTGACCAGTACCTATGCAACGCTTATAAATTAATCAATCAAGTTCAAATTATCTAATTTTCTTTACGAATTGATGTTTTTTAATATTTTAACATTTAATTAAAGTGAAATTTGGCAATGCCGGAATTTATTTCATAGTTTAATGTACAAGAACTTTTAAAAATTATACGACTTTTATAAAATTTCATATTTAAATTTGAAAAAAAAAATTGATTTTAATTGTAAGAATGAGTTAAAACCGTGATAAATTATAAATTTAATTAATTTTGCTAATCAAATATTGATTAAAACTTAACTTTTAAAGTTTGCTTAATTATTTATGCTGATCAATTCACTAACTGTAAATGACCAGTACCCTTGCAATGCATATAAATTAATCATTTAAGCTCAAAATATCTAACTTTTTTAATGAATATATATATATATATATATTTTAACAGTTTTAACATTTAATTAAAATTTGTTATTACTAGAAATTGTTTCGTAGTCTAATATACAAAATATGCTCTGATTCATTGCAAATCATAAAATTTTCATAAAATTCGATCTTAAGATTTCAAATAAAAATTAATTTTAGCTGCAGAAATGAATTAAATCTGCGACAAACCAAAAATTTTATTAATTTCACTTCTCGAATATTAAAAAAAAAACTAAGTTATTAAAGTTTATTTTCTTATTTATGTTGTCAATTGACCACACCGTAAGTGACCGGTACGTATGCAACGCATAAAATTAGTCAATTAAGTTCAAAATAACTAATTTTTTTTAATGAAATGATATTTTTTAATAGTTTTAATTGATATTTTAACAATTGAGTTCAAAATAATAATTGATATTTTTAATAATAATTGATAATTTTTAAAAACAAACAAAAACTAATTTTAGCTGCAGAAATGAATTAAATCCACGACAAATTAAAAATCTTATTAATTTCACCTCTCAAATATTAAAAAAAAAACTTAGTTATTAAAGTTTATTCTCTTATTACGTATGCAACGCATAAAATTAAATAACTGAGTTCAAAATAACTAATTTTTTTTAAGGAATTGATATTTTTTAATAGTTTTAATATTTAATTAAAATCAAAATTGATAAAACTAGATATTTTTTCTCCCTTTAATATACCAAAGCTCTTGCAAATTATAAAATTTTCACCAAAATCAATATTTAGATTTGATATAATGCTTAAGCCTAAGCCTAAATATACCCTAAGCCTAAGCCTAAGCATTATTTTATTATTTAAAATGTCAAATGACCACAATATATGTGACCAGTTCTCGCACTATGCGAATATAATAATCAATTTTTTTTTTATTCAATGATATTTTTTAATAGTTTTAACATCCTCTGAAATTAAATTTTGATAATAGTAGAACTTCTTACCTAGTTTTATATGCAAATACCCGTATAAATTATGGGATTTTTGTAAATGTATTATTTAAATTTGAAATATAAATTAATTTTAATTGTAAGAATGAATTAAAATCGTGAAAAATTAAAAATTTAATTAATTTTGCTAATAAAATTTTGATCAAAACTTAATTTTTAAAGTTTATTTTATTATTTTTGCTGGTCAAATGACCACGATGTATGTGACCAGTACCTACGCAACGCATAAAATTCAATCAATTAAGTACAAAATATCCATTTTTTTTTAATGTTTTGATATTTTTTAATATTTAATTAAGATTAAATTTGATAATAGCAGGGTTTTTTTCCCAATTTATTATGCAAAAATTCTTACAAATAATAGGATTTTTACAAAAATCAATTTTAAATTTGAAATAAAAATTAGCATTAATTGTAAAAATGAGTTAGGTCTATGACTAATTAAAAATTTTATTATTTTCACAACTGAAATTTTGATCAGAATTTAAAAATTAAAATTTATTTAATTGTTTTTGCTGGTCAAATGACCACAATGTATGTGACCAGTATCTATGCAACGCTTATAAATTAATCAATTAAGTTCAAAATATCTATTTTTTTTTTTTAAGAATTGATATTTTTAAATATTTTAGCACTTAATTAAAATAAATTTTTGACATTACTGGAATTTATTTCATAATTTATTATACAAAACCTTAAAAAAATATTGAATTTTCTTAAATTTTGATATTTAAATTTGGAATAAAAATTAATTTTAATTGTAAGAATGAATTAAAACCGTCACAAATTGAAAATTTAATTAATTTTGCTAATCAAATATGGGTTAAAACTTAATTATTAAAGATTATTTATATTATTCATGCTGATCAATTGACCAATTGTAAATACCAGTACCAATGCAATGCATAAAATTTAATCAATTAAGCTCAAAATATCTAATTTTCTTTACGAAATGATATTTTTTAATAGTTTTAACATTTTAATTAAATTGAAATTTGACAACACCGGCATTTATTTCATAGTTTAATATGCAAAAACTTTTACAAACTGCACAATTTTCTTAAATTATGGTATTTAAATTTGGAAAATAAATTAATTACAATTGCAAGAATGAAATAAAACCGTGACAAACAAAGATTTTAATTTATTTTGCTAATGAAATATTGATTAAAAGTTATTTTTTAATATTTTATGCTGACCAATTGACCGCACCGTGATTGACCAGTACCTATGCAACGCTTATAAATTAATCAATCAAGTTCAAATTATCTAATTTTCTTTACGAATTGATGTTTTTTAATATTTTAACATTTAATTAAAGTGAAATTTGGCAATGCCGGAATTTATTTCATAGTTTAATGTACAAGAACTTTTAAAAATTATACGACTTTTATAAAATTTCATATTTAAATTTGAAAAAAAAAATTGATTTTAATTGTAAGAATGAGTTAAAACCGTGATAAATTATAAATTTAATTAATTTTGCTAATCAAATATTGATTAAAACTTAACTTTTAAAGTTTGCTTAATTATTTATGCTGATCAATTCACTAACTGTAAATGACCAGTACCCTTGCAATGCATATAAATTAATCATTTAAGCTCAAAATATCTAACTTTTTTAATGAATATATATATATATATATATTTTTTTTAACAGTTTTAACATTTAATTAAAATTTGTTATTACTAGAAATTGTTTCGTAGTCTAATATACAAAATATGCTTTGATTTATTGCAAATCATAAAATTTTCATAAAATTCGATCTTAAAATTTCAAACAAAAACTAATTTTAGCTGCAGAAATGAATTAAATCTACAACAAATAAAAAATCTTATTAAAAGAAATATGTTATTTAGAGAATATGTCAGTTTAGTTTGTTAATTCAGGTCCATATTAGAAACAAGGATGGCAGTGGCTGGTAAAAGTATTATGGAGCATAACGAGATTTTGGGGATGGACGCTGCGTTGAAATTCATCAACCAAAGCGTTGCATACGTCTCGTATTTTACTCTTCAGGTATAATAATAGCAATAATATATCGAATAATTTTTCTGTTGTTTTAAAATTATTGCAGCATGTTAAGATAGTGTTATTTGTGTCAGTTTATCATAAAGTTGTTTGTATTATAGGATATCTTGGACATTCATAGTCATGTTCTTGGTTTTGTCGATCCGGAAGTAGCAGGTGTATTTCGCAAAAGTCAGGTTGGTATTATGTGAATAGGAAGTGAATGTTTTGGAAGAGTTTGATACAGATCTAGGATGAAATATTGTTAATTTGTATATATGTGAGCAACATTAAAGGAATGTCGATTAATGCAAAATAGGCGGTGATTGTTTTATCATTCTCGAGCAATATAGGACGGGCAATTTTGGAATAGTTGCGTTTGACGTTCTGTTCTGTTATTCTTTTTTTCATGATGTTCGTTATTCTTTTGAGGTGTTTGTGAGTAGTTTCACAACCGTTCCGGCAAACATGGTACCAGGAGAAATGGAGGAAATGGTGAAATGGTTGAATGAGGAGGACAGTTTATTGCTGGATCCAATAGAACGTGCCGCTATTGCTCATTATAAGCTGGTTTGTCTATTGCACATTTTCCAAAAATCTTGCATTTTCAGAGTGTTTATGATACAAAAATGTGAACTAAAATCAAGATCACATAAATCTTATATTTTCGTATTACCAGTTGTGTATCCTTCCAAAATCACTATATACATTCTTTTAAAGCTGGAAGAATTCTTTTTTTAAACAGGTTTCGATACATCCATTCATTGATGGTAACGGTCGTACTGCACGATTGTTAATGAATCTGATTTTGATGCAGAGCGGTTTTCCCCCAGTTATAATACCAGTTGAGGCCCGTTCTGATTATTATGATACTCTCAATGCCGCGAACCGTGGGAATCTTCGTCCATTTATTCGCTTTATTGGACGTCAAACAGATGCCACCTTGCAAGTAGGTTTTTTTTTTTTTTTATTGGAAAGTGACATTTTAATTAGATTTGTTTAATATGGTAAATCTGCTTTCAGTTGTATATTAATTCTGCAACCACATGTGATTATCGAGAAGGATCTGGTGAGTGTAGTATATCAACAGCTCCTAAAATCTCTGCACAGCAGGAAGAAACATGGTGATCCTTAATTGTTATTTTTCACTAATGTTACTTGCGGGTAATGTAAAAAGCAATGTGAGTTTTTACTTTTTTAATGTTTGCCTTCCGATGCATTTTTGCATCAAATGTTGTTTTATACAAAGTGTTACATCAGTTCATTTTGGCTGTTAGCTAAACAAAATTACCTTATGGACATACATTTGGGTAAATAAAATTTATTGTATATATTGTTTCACTTAAATACATCATTAACTTTATTGCTGGACGATATCAATGGGCAAATTACATATAGTCAAGTTTCTTTGACTTGTGGACGAGTTAGTTGTTTAGAAATGATATTGTTTGAGTCGTTTGGAAATAGTGTGATGTCAATTATTATATCTAAATGCTCACGTTAATCACATTCGATAAAAGTTGAAAATTTGTTATATTGGCAGTTTCTATTACACTTTTGTCGTTTTCCAAACATTTAACAAATTATTCCTAGTCACATACTGGTCAACGTGCCTTACAAAAACTTTTATCAACGTTCATTAGTTTTCGTATATTTTCATATATGTCTTGAATGCTTTTGTCAGTAGTAATTCTTGTTAAAGTGTCATAAAATTTATTGTACGGATGCACTGAGGAATGAAAGCATAGTCTATAATCGCCATATTTTAAACTTTTAGATGATATAGGAAAAATATTTTGATGGGATTTTTTTGTAGATGAAATATGAAGTTACTACAGATTTTAGCAACTACGAAAACTAACAAAAACCCGAGTACTATCAAAGAAATATCTGTTAAGGCTATATAATTTTTTCCCGGTGTTGTTATAATCATTTTACAGTGATATTGGCAAACTTACATTATTTCAGTTTGTGTAATTTCCTTAACAGAATTTGGATGAAAATTTCCGCTTTCAACTGCATTGTTTTTAACCTAATTCAAACAAAGTTCACAATTATAGGTGTATCTGTTATATTTAGTTTTTTATTTTAGTAATATTCATATAAAGTTTATATGGGAAAATCAACACCACGAGGGAACTTTCGAATCATCTTTGAGGCGTGTACATTATAATATTTGAAATGTGTTTTAGTTTTTGCAACTTGTCTCCCACATAAATATTGATAAGTGTTTAATAGATATTAAGAATAACATAAATAGGAATTATTTCCCACAAAAACTTATATGCAAAGAGCTATCACTGAACTTTGATAATAACTCCCTGTTTAGGGCCAAGAACAATTTTATCAAACGATGATATTTTGTCCCTAGGTAAGTATTTGTCAACGTTTGGAGTTACGATAGCGATTTCCGCTGTAGCTGCCATATAATTATCCGGCAGTACAGACATTCCGTCTATTTCAACGTCGGATGTCCCAAAGTTTGCGCCAATCAGGTAGGCCTTAAAAGTATGCAAAACCTCACCGTATAAATGATGTAGTTTACTACAAGTCATTAAAAAAGAAAATAACATACCGCTCCATTAAAACTATTAGTGGATTGATAGAATCGACCGAATAAGATAACATCTTGAGTAAGTGGTGCTAATTGAGTTTCGCCAAGTGCAAAATTGTAATCACGATGGTGCATTTTTGCCACCGCTTTCAGTGTTTTCAATGGTGAGCGATAACCAGTAGATTGAGTCTGTAAGTTGAGTTATTATCAGAGTGGTTGAAATTAAAAAAGTGAACTTAATTCTTGTTAGTGTGAAAATTGACACAACTCTATTTAACAAAAATTGGCAGTATAACGGGATTCGTAAATAAAGGAGAATAGAAAAGTCTATTAGGAAACATAAATAGTGGGTTAAGATAGAGTCACCTTACTCCCTAATTTATACAGAAGAAGGCTTGATGACTTGGAAATTTTGAATGTTAGTTGATTTGCTGTGACAGTCTAGAACTGAAGAGTACGATTACCTGAAAATTGTCCTCATTGTAATTAAGCATGGTAGAAAAGAATGAGTTCTGGCTGCCAGCTGTGAAACCGCGGTATTCGCTGCTATTCCATTGCATCAAACCAGTAAATTTGTTTTCAGGACCAGTACTATCTTCAAGACTTAGTTCTTGTCCGTAATACATTTCAATAATACCTGGCAATGAAAGCTGCACAAAGCTCAGTAAAGTTGCTGTTGCTTTGTCGAATCTCGTACTGAGACGAGAAACGTGGTAATTCGTGAACTGCCACGCGTGTGGAAGATGTGTAGTATTGAACCATTTGAAAGATGTAATAAGTGTAGAGTGTAAGCATTGTGCTATTCCATTTGGACATGATTCCTAAAGAAGGAATAATTTAGAAGGTTTAAGAATTCATTATAAATGCTTCGTTTCTTGATATCAAGAATGTATAAATTAAGTTTCAACTTTTTTCTTTTTTAGAAAATTGATCATTTTGACTGGAACTGACATTATTTAGTTTGGTGACTGAATCATCGATAACATATGCGAGGTTCGACAGATTGAGACCATCAGATTCTTGTAGTCTGGTGAAGTCACTCAAAGATGAAAACACAGCGATTTCTCGACTACTGGGTGTTTCAGTACTATTCGCATAATCTCGTATATTTCCGATGAAATCATTGATCATTGATAGTGCCACATATCCCTTAATTTCTACGTACGTAAAAGTAATCTGATTATATTATCAAATCATATTATTCATAACTGAATGATATGTTAAAATGGATGTCGAGCAATTAGCAATTTTGAATAAGTGAATTTAATAATTAAATTTGTTTAGGGAGTAAAAGTTTTGGAATTCTAAATGTTTAAAATAGTTGTAGTTTATTCTGAAAATATTGCAGTTGGTTGTTGATACCTCTGATTTTGGTAGATATTTGATTAATTCGCCAATACGATCCACATGGAAACCATCAACTCCCATGTCAATAAAACTTTTTGCAACCTCAAAGATACTTTTCTTTACCGCAGGATTACTCCAGTCTAGTATTGGGTCTTTCCCGTCATAAGCTAGATAAGCATCCTTTTTGCCCTCTTCAACAATATAATTTGGGTTATCTTTTACATCCAGTGCCTCCTTCCAAATGTAATAACCAACGTAATCGCCACCCGCTTTTGCTGATTTGAACCTAAAATTGAGTATCCAAAAGCCTTAATAACTTTGAAGTGAATTCCATTTCCGCTTAAGATGGAATTTATTAGGTTTTTAGAGTATAAATTCTACAAGAAGTCAATATCCATTAACGAAGGAAGACAAGGTTGCAAACCATTTATGTGATGCAGATGTTGTTGATATGGGCAAATCCATGGTAAAGTGCATATCTAGTTCATGTGTTGCATCTATCAACAATTTTAAATCATTCATTGTACCGAAACGTTCATCAACACTTGTGAAATCAATCACATCGAGAGGGATGAAATCATCCTGAATTATTTCTCAAATCTATCAAAAGTTATAGAATTCCGCATGAAAGTATGTGATAGCACTTTTCTCAGTTCTGTTCGCAACGAATTTTTTCAAAATACCACCTAACCTTTTGAATGGTTATTATAGGTGTCACCCAAATTGTTTTTATACCAGTCTTCCGTAAATCATTAAGTTTTTCTCGGATTCCATTAAAATCACCAATTCCATCATCATTGGAGTCACGAAAGGAAGGTGTAAATATCTGGAATTTTATTCCACTCAATGCAATTGTATATCATTGCAAAAATATTTTGAAATGACCCAATTGTTTTTTTTTTTTCTTTTTTTGTAAAAAAGTAATCCTAAAACATTTGAGAATTGACTGCAGAACTGGCTATTTCCGTATTGCAGGAGTGTGTGTTTGATATTTTCCAAGATAAAAATGAACTTCGTTTATACGTATGTACTTAAGATTACCTGATAGCTAACTTGCTTACGCCACCATTCCGGTTCTTTTATCGTTGCGCATTTTGGACTAAACACAATAAGTAGCACAGCAGCTATAAACATTAAAAGCCATACCACCCAGAAAAGCAGAAACATTGTGCACCTGTAACAACTGCTTTCTTCAGAAAAAAGAAACAAACAAATAGTAATATCCAAGATTTGAATCCAAACGAGTTTTCATCAAAATGAATTGGCTTTTCCCCACATTTAAACCAATGTTTAAATTTTACTAAATTTAGAATTTACCTAACTACCTTCCAAAATGGGTCATTGCAATATTGTTCTAGTTCATTTTTTGTAAGTCCGATCATTTTTTCATCTCTTTTTATTCCATTTTCATCCTGTAAGGAAATCGTGATAGAGATAAACCTGAATAATCATATAAATGGTTCATTTCATGGATATAATTTTTGCTAATTTTCTTAAATTTACTGGTACTGTATGAAAGGTAGTGTTTCCGCCTGATTTAGAAGCACTATCAGGTAAACATTACCAACAGGTGTTCAGGTCTTGGTGACCATAATTGCTTCGAGAGTTTCCAAATGAGAAATTGATAAGAATAAATGCGAAGAGACGAATAAAAACATGAAAACATACAAATTTTGGTGAAAAGGTTGCCTGTATTCCTTCATAACTCGATTCTTTGATTTCTAATTTATAAACTTGTGGCGTTGTAGTGTCCTCAGACAATGGCATTCTCGAATCATCCGCATCCATTCCTGTGTGACGCTAAAATACTAGCCGTAGAATTAATAAAGCATAAAACCTCCAAATTTCCGGAAATAATCAAAAAGAATGCTCCATCAAATAATGGGTGGCTTCAAATAATTAATATTGATTTTATCCTAATTCAAAAATCTTCAGATAAATCTACGGAGCTATCTTGAAATTCTGGATAGCAATTTCAGGACATGTCGAAAATTCTTGAACAAAATATTATCGTGATAAAAAAACAAGTTGATAAAAAATTTTAAATCGCGTAACAAAGATTTTCTGTAAAATTAAAAGTTTTGAAAAATCATAAGTGAAAGGAAAGAAGCTAACATTATAACAATACTACAAATTTTTTTTTTCCTTCACTAAAAATTAACGGCAAAACAGGACAGAACAAAATGACACACAGCTATGCATTCCATTATGTTTGCCAACATTTAGT